TCTGCTTTATTTTCTTGTTTGACAATGTGCAGTACAGAGATATATCAAGGGTAGATGGGAGTTTCTGGAGGGTGACCGGTCTCTAACCCCCTAAAGTTGTAATTTCTTATAGGTTATTTCATCATCCGTTGATTCACTAACCATGACTTTTTCCAGTCCCTATATGTGTTGGTTATCAAGTTCTTTACAGAAGGGGTATTAAGTGACTGTAGAGATGCCCACTTGGAGCAGAGAATCCACACTTTTTCAACTTCCCTCGTAAACCAAACAATTGCAGGTCGTTAAGCAACAGAGGGTGTTAAAAATTTCATCGCTAAACCAAATTATTGCAAAGTGAACTGAATACGAAACAATGGATACCTGTACAGGTGATTTTCAGGGACATAACTCGTGTAATTCATGGTCTGCTTATACATGTAGCTGTCATCTTCCATTTTTAGCAGGCTATGGAGTTGATGAGGTACTTAGTAACCTGGTGAAGGATTGATTCTGGAATTCCATTATACAGCAGATCCTAGAATTAGAGTAGGTGTAGTCAATCAGAAATTAATGTTTAAACACCTGATAACCTTACAATAACTGAACTTACCAAAGGCTGAAATGTGTACCGTACATGATGGTGTTGCATTCAGAAATTCCTGCTTTGTACTGTAGAAGATGATTTGTTGCTTTTAAAGATCCTTTTGGGTCTTGGTGCTCATGGGTCAGTCAGTGTAAATAATTAAAGAATTATCAGTCCCTTTATGATATTTAGTTGCAGGCTTGTTCATAATATCAAGTATCAGGATCAATTCTTCATATACTGTACAGTATACATTCACTTTAATTTGGGGACGATGCTGTTTTAGGAATTAATAAATAAACGTGTAGTCAATTTATTATGTGATGCAAGCCTCACATCCATCTTGTTAACTAATACTTAATGTTTTATCATACTCATTAAATTTTTATGTTTTCTTAGGAAATGTGTTGAATAGCCATAAATTTTGCTAGGATTTAGGGAAAGCTTGTTCATTTTATTATTTAAGGAAATCAATGAAAACCAAATCTTTGTAACCAAAGGATTGTTCATTTAAACATAGGATATACTGTATATTCATAGGTTGAAAGTGTGTTATAAGTGGGCTAATGTACTACTGTATATCTAAACCTTCTCTGTATGTAAAGTGGAAATATGAAACTAAAGAATTTTGTCACAAACTTTCAATAAACTAATCTCAATTAATCAACTTTCAGATGATGATGAATTATGGAGTTGAAGATCAGTGCTACTTCAACTCTCGCTGCCTCACTGCTCTAGGAAAACTGCCTGATTTTACTCGAGTTTTCAGCAATATTGTCTACATTTTTGTGGGGATTGCCTTTACCATCATTGTGAAGAAACATGAGACATTAACCCAGAACAATCTCAAAAGTGTCACTGCTTCTCATGTAAGTCTTATATCTGTCTCACTTCAAAAAGCTAGTTTTCCATCATTTTTGTGGTGTGGAATTAACATACAGTAGTCTTTTTCTTTTCTAATCTTAATATTTTTTTTTTATTCTTATTTCTTTCACCTCCCAAGCCTTGTTGTATGTCTATGACCTGTGCCCGGGTGGGATATTCCCCGAAGAAAGAAAAAAAAATTTAAATAAATAAATAAAGTATTAATTAATTAATTAACATAAGATCTCCATTATTTATGTTATTTCATATTAATTATATTGTCTTATGCATACATAATGTTGTTAAACATGTGCATATAGCTATTTATATACGTGTTTTCCACACTCATGGGACTGGCATGAAAACCTCACGCGGTTTTGCCTTCTCACGGGGTTCATTTCACTTAATCATGAGCTTTAAAGGAATATATATACCGGTATACAGTACTTGTGTGTGTATATATATATATATATATATATATATATATATATATATATATATATATATATATATATATATATATATATATATATATATATATATATATATTATATATATTATATATATATATATATATATATATATATATATATATATATATATATATATATATATATATATATATATATATATATATATATATATATATATATATATATATATATATATATATATATATATATATATATATAGTGATATGCTATTACGGATCATCTCTGAATATTCCTAAAATTACAGTTTTCCTATAAATGGAGATATAAACAACTGGCTCTCTATGAACATTATTTAAAAAATTTTTTTTTTCTAATTTATTGTTTTTTATTACAAATATTAATGATATTCTTTATTTCAGGGGTTTATATGCATATTTATGCACTTTTTTACAATTTTATATTATATTTTTCAGTGTTAAGTGGTTGTATTTGGGGGCCTGGAACGGATTAATCCTATAACGAACAAGGTTCTAGAACCAATTAGATTCGTTATAGCATACCCCACTGTATATATATATATATATATATATATATATATATATATATATATATATATATATATATATATATATATATATATATATATATATATATATATATATATATATATATATATATATATATATATATATATACATACAGTTCCTCCCCGACTTACGACCAACTCGACTTACGTCCACCCGCACTTACGACTTGCCTCAGTCGTACTAAAATTTGGTCAAATTACATATTTTCGAGTCCCAAAGTCAGTACACGGACAAAATTTTCATCTGTAATTCTCTTTAAAATGGCTGACAAGCTTAAAAGTGAGTGTTTTGTGGTGTTGAGAAGAAAAAGAAACCCCCATTTTCGATTTTCTATGTGTTATTTGAGCATTTCCGACTTACGGTCATTTCGACACGACCATTTCGACTTACGACCTGGATGTCGGTCCCTAACCCCGTCGTAAGTAGCAGCTGGGTTTGGATATCAGTGGTGTCAATTTTGTTATAATTCCCACTTAGTACTAGCTTGGCGCATGGGTACCTAACTCTGAGGTGGTAATGAGATGATTGATGGGAATGTCTCTGGTGGGCGAGTGAGGTGGAGGGTATGCCTCACATTATATGATAGAAGCAGTGTGGCATGGGTAGGCACGTGGCCCAACACGTACCCATAGTGTTTTCATATCGGCTGGGACTAAACATCAAGGAGTGACGGGCATAGTTCATCTTGACAGAAGAGGTCAACGCCCCTTCCGTGTCCATGTGAATGAAGGTGATGAAAGAGTTGATATCCCTCAATGTGGCATGTTTAAGGAACAATTTGCCAAGCTTCGCATATGGAAACATCGTTGGCAGCGACTGATTGGACTGGAGTTGCCAGTTTGTCAAATTTATTAGCTAAGGAGGTGACATTGGAGAGCAGCAAGGAGAGGAGATCGTACCATGTTCGGGGAGCTTCACTGTATTGGTACGGTCTGTCAGGACTAGGTTTCTCTAGGTTTTCTAGTGGAGGTGATGGTCCTAATGGGCGTCTGTTTATGACGTCCTTGTCTACGGCTTCAAGCATGGAGTATGCTCGGTGAATTTAGCTGCACAATAACACTGCCATCAGAATAACCATTGCATGCTTTAAATTGTACAGGGGTCGTTGTAAGTAAGTGACTGGTGGACATCTGTTGGTATTTGTCTTGTTGTAAACACTGCAAGTCCTTGTCTTTGGCTCTTAAGGTGTTGCCAACACAGTACCTACGGTATATGTAAACACGGCAGAGGTCCTTATCACTGGCACTTTGAAGGTGACTGGTAGCCTTATGGGTGAGTCCATTCTATGAGTGGAGGAATAAACTACTCACTCAAAGGTCTGAAGGCGGAAAGAGACCAAGGGATTTTTAGTTGGCGGGAATTTCAAATGACAAGTATTTAAGGGTGTGGTCAAATATTTCTTGCCCTGAAAGGATTTGAGCTTACGAGGTCAGGTCTTTTGAGGGTTTACTTTAGTTCTTTTTAGGTTTTAAAATAACCCTGGACAAGATTATCAAGAACCTGCATTTGCTTTGATCTACTACCCTGAGTAGACTACCATTAGTTGCAGTGGTTGTTACAGGGTAGATGAATTTATGCTTTCCATGGGAATTTACTGTTTAGCCCACTCTATAGAATCTACAGCAAATTAAATTGATCATGTGCATAAGATAATACATACTCTTTAAATCACTATTGTATGTTTGGAATCTTAGCCAAAATGTTTTTAGAAATCCGACAGGAGAAAGGCCAAATTATAAATGCATGTAGACTGCAAATTAAAATGAGGGTGACAGAGGAATGGGTAACTTCACATAAGCGTGGAACATGTTGACTATGGTTCAGGATGCTCAAAACTTGAAGTGGGTTCTAAAAGAAGGCTTCCCAACAACATGTATAGTGTGTTGTTTCTTCTTTACAGATGAATTTTATTACAGAAAATTCCACCTACATTGTGCAGTTTAGGGAAAATATCACAATGGATCATATTTCAGAAAATTGGTATCGGTGTGAGTCGGCACTATGGACTTTTTACTTCTCTTGGTTATGGACTCGTTATTGAGGGCATAATGTCAGCACTCTATCACACGTGCCCCAACAGCGTTACCATCAAGTTTGGTAATTGTATTTCAGTACAGTATATATTATATACGGTTAAGTATTTGTCAACTTGAATTCTGTTTTACAAAATAATCTACTTTATGAAATTTAAGAATATACTGTAGAACAATTTTGTTGGCGCATTTCTACTTTCAATAGGGAATGTAATATTGTGATGATAACTTTATCTAATGATTCAATGTCTGATGTTGATAATATAATACAAATAATCTTGTTTCTGCTTCCTTTCAGATATGATGTTTATGTATGTGATAATGGTGGCAGCTGTGGTGGGCATATGGGGTCTACGACATGGAGATGTTACACACCATGTGTACCCAACCATGATGTTCATAGGCATGGCTCTCATACTGGCTGATGGCTGTGTATGGGTCAGCAGGATAGTTTTTTGGATTGGCATTGCATCTATCTACACATTTATTCTATTGACAAATACTGTACTTATGTCACAGTATGGCATTTGGTCATTTTGTAAGTCACACTGTATAATTTTTTGTTTTTGAAATATGAAATGTAAAATTATTTAGTGTCTCAAAGAAGGGATTAGATAAATTAATTTCCTGTTTGATGGCTGTAGAGATAAGTAAATGATCCATGAGATGTTACATATACTGTACTGTACTGGTAAAGGTTGCCACAATTCAGCATGTGTGCAATATACAGTACCTCAACAGGAATATGGCTATTAAACAATTTCCTCTTCATGTTGATGAAAGATTATAGCCTACACAACTAGTATGCAAACCAATAGATGGTAAATTAATTTAACCTAAGTTCTTAGATGGTTAAAGATTTTCCACATTCTTCTTGTTGGCTAAAGCAACCAGAAAGGACTCCCAAAGTCACATGGGAACAGTGAAAAGCATACCTAAAAGCTCTTTACCTGCTTTAAAGGTCCTGGGCACTCAGGCACTGCCATACACACAGTGTCTGCTACCACCCACTTCCTTGTGCTATTTTCTTCTCAGTATAACTCAAATTAGTTCAATATATGCACTATGTATATTGGTGGCACAAAATTACATGCCAGATACATCCTGAGAATTTTCACTGGGAGATGTGGGAATGCAACGCTCCTCCCTTCACCCCACATACTCCGCCTTGTTTCTGTTCTTGCAGCCTACACACTCATCTGTTTATAGCCTCAAGTTGCAAAGTCATATAAAATGAATTATTCTACAGATCTGAACCCATAGGTGCCTCTAGCAAAGACTACAAAACCCTAGCTTAATGTGACGTAAACTACATCAGTGTTTATAGCCTCAAGTTGCAAAGTCATATAAAATGAATTATTCTACAGATCTGAACCCATAGGTGCCTCTAGCAAAGACTACAAAACCCTAGCTTAATGTGACGTAAACTACATCAGTGACCAATTAGAGTATGACAAGGGATGATGTAATTTATGTCAGTGACCATTAGAGGCTAAGGCTAGGAACCTGATAGTTGCCTCAATAGCCAATGTAGGAAAAGACCGCTTGAGATTCCATTTATTTGTCATTCCTGCTGACTTAGGAACTTTCCAACAATGGTGGGATTTCAATAATTCATCTTCTCTCTCTAGTCTGGTAAATCTCAAAAAGTATCTCTGAAACTTAAGCTGTGCCAGAAAAATGGGACGAAGCCCAATGTCAAGTGCATAACATCCATTCACTGCTTCAAAAATGGATACACAAAATTTTTCACTCTGGAAGGTGTACTCCATGTTTATGCTTCCAAGAGTTATAAATTTGGGTTCCTGTTACTTTTCAGTAAGATTTTTGTAATGAAGACTACTGATCACAACCCACTTCATGTATGGATGGAAGGCAATTGCAATGCTTCTTCATGTGAAGGGTAAAACATTCTCTTTCCTTGGTATTAGAAACCCATACTTGAGTAAAAGTAAAAGTACTAAAGAGTTTGAGTACTTTTTAAAAAGTAAATACAGTACCCAAAAATGTTACTTTAGTACAGTCACAAGTAAATTTACTTAGTTACTTTACAACTCTGCTATGAGTAGTTCTGAGTGCAGATTGAGCAAGAAAATTACTTATTCACTCCGCCATATTGTTTTTCCTTTGTTTACCTATTTACAACATACCACAGAATATTCAGTAGTTCTTTCGGGTGTGGTAATCCATATAACATGGGCCCACACACAATCCCATATCACACTCAATGCACATTGTTGTCACCATTTTCCTCTGTCTTTCCCTCCTTGTGGTGTTCTTACAGATGTAGCATTCCAGGTGTTTTTCCCGGCCATGTCTTACTGTCTGTGTTGTGTCCAGGAAGTTACGAGCCATATAATTTCTAGAATTCTATCTATCGGGTCTGTGTAGTGCGTTGGCCTCTCTGAAGATATCAGGATGCCATATTTTTCCAGCAACTGGTAGACAACATTGTACTGGAATTCCCTCGGCTTCGATTTTTTATTTACAGTCCTAACTAGGAACAGATTGTAGGCATTCAGGATGGTGATGCTTAGAGTGTGGAAGAAGAATTTTTTACCATTTTACACTTTTTCTTATACTGTACAGTAGACCTTTGCCATTCGCGAGGGATAGGTGGGAATTGGCAAAACCTTATTGCACTAATATACAGGTATACCTATAGTACTGTGTATGAGAAACTTAGTCACAATACAGAACTTACATTTGTACATGGAAGTCTGGAGCTTGATGAAGGGGTGCACTGTACATAGGGAGACATCTGGTTACTGAAGCATAGGTGGATCATCAAGATCACTGGTGGAAGAGGGTGAATCAGTGGTGATTGGTGGAGAGGCAGGTGGTGGAGTGGTGCGCAACCGGGAGGTGGCGCTTGGCTGGGAGGCAGGTGATGAGGTGGCGGGTGGCTGGGAAGAGGAGGGTGGAGCGACAGTGGTAGTTTCTGGTTCTTTCTTGAAATACATGGTGATTGGTAGTTGTTTCCTCTAGACTTTGAGATCTTTAAACATTTCCTGATAGGGAAACAATACCTGGTTGATTCCTCGGACCATCTTAAGGCTGCATTCCATGGAAGGGTCGTGATGAACACTGAAATCATTCACTATCTTTACCTGACGAAATAGTTCACAAAAATTTTCCAAGTTCCAACCTTCTTGTTGTAATTCAATAATGTCTTTTTCTTCATCTCCCGAGGCACTTTTTACCAACTCTTCCAAATCCTCTTCTGTAAGATCCTCTCCATGCCCACCAATCAGCTCTTCCATGTTGTCAGCAGCAGTGTCCACAAACCCCTCGCCACCCAACTGCCGTGCAACACTTACAATGTCATTCACATCCTTTACTATGGGCGGAAATCCCTGAAAGTTATTCACACACTCAGGTCATAAGGTGCTCCAAGAAGCATTCACTGTCTCTGGTTTGTGTTCATGGAAAGCTTCACTGATGTTGGTAATGCTGTACTCTTTCCAACACTACTGATACGACCAAAAGAGCTGTGTGTATAATATGCCTTGAAGGTACTGTGCGTATTACACCCTGATCGAGAGATTGGATAAGAGCAGTGGTGTTAGGGGATAGGAGCACCACCTCTACACCTGGATGTCTAAACTATAAACTTTCTGGGTGGCCTGGTGCTGTGTCTGTCAATAATAACACCTTGAATTCCATCTTCGTGGAAGCAAGATATTTTTCCATTTCCGGGACGAAGCATTTATGGAACCACTCTAGGAATGCTTGCACAGTTACCCATGCCTTTTTGTTGGACTGCCAAAACACTGGCAAATGGTTCTTGTTTTTTCCCTATAAAGCCGTAGGGTTTGCTGAGCAGTAAAGCAAGCCAGGCTTGATCATGTGGCCAGCCGCATTACCATAGAAGATGAGCATCACTCTGTCCTTGGCGGCCTTGTTTATGTATGTTCTAACGCATTTTCTTCCAATATAAACCAGATTCATCAGCATCAAACACTTGCTCTGGTCTATAGCCTTTCTCTTCTATTATTTTCTTTAGCTTGGCGGGAAATGCACCTGTGACTGTGTGATCAGCTGATGCTGATGCGGCCTCCCCGGTCAGCTTTACATTATGGAGAGAGAATCTTTTCTTAAAATTCTCAAACCAACCTTTACTGGCACTGAAAGTTATTTCAGTCACTGCACTAGCCCCTTCACCACCTGTTGACATGTAAAAATTAGCATAAAGACTTTTAGCCTTTTCATGAATCACGTTGCTGTTGATCGGAAAGCTTTTGCGGTGCTGTTCCTCAATCCAAGTGTTTAGTGTGCTTTCTCAGTTTTCACTATGTTCTTGTCACGAACAACCTGCGCCACTTTAGCACTTGCAGGAGCACTCACTTGAACAGAATCACGTATTGCTTGTTCATTCTTTCTTATGCACCGCACTGTGGATTCGTTTACAACCAAACAACCGACCGACTGCGGCAGCACTCTTCCCCATCACTAGCACTGACACTAGGCAGTCTTTTTGGGGCCATTTTCACAAAGAAACACGAAAGTTTTGAGAGTATGACACGGGATGCTAGGTCACGGGTACTGGGTGAGGGCAAACAGAGAGAGAGGAGACGCTGCGGGTGCATGGGGTGACTCGTTGCTTTGAGGGAGAAGGCTCGCACGCTAGCCACCTGAGCCACCAGCTGTTTACCACGAATCGTCGAAATTGCGAATCGTAAACCCTTGAATGGAAAGGGTCTACTGTACACTCTACAGCACTGAGTTTGCAGTTACTTTTGTCTATTAGATACATACACTCATGACAGTCTTATCACTGAGTCAGGCTTCAGTATATTCTCCTGAGTTCTGAAATTCACCTTCCCACTGTCTTTCATTTCACCCTTGTGCAAAGTACTGAGCATCGTGGCCTGTCACTTTTCATGCCAGTTTATTGCAATGACATTCCCAGACTTTTGCAATTCACAGTGGCCTTGATCAGTTTCTTATTTAAGCTATTAAGAGTCACTGCCATTTTGAAACAGCAGGATGGCATTGTCACTATGGTGTTACCACTGTTTTAAAATGCTGCTGTATTTACAAATCTCCCGTTCTCACTAGTGACAGATGTACAGCTTAGATAAGTGAAAATGGGACAAGTGGCAACTCCTGGGCACCAAGTGGGATGGGGAGGGGATGGAGGCTGTGGGGTGGACAGAGCTCTCATATATCGCTCCCTTGTTCTTTGTCTCCTTAACACAGACACACTACATAGCTTAGAAGTTGTAACAACTTTTATTTAAGTGTCTTTAAATTGTGACATACTTATTTCACATATATAACTTACAAAGAACAGGTATTGTTTTGGTGAAGTGAGGTAGAGTGTGGTGACACGTGTAGGGGCTAGAGGTGTTAGTACAGTAAAACCTCAATTAACCGACTTTCGGATTAAACGCCGATCCTGGACCCCTAAAAAAAAAAATTACGGGTATTAGCCCACCCAGGCACAGGTCACTGACCCACACCGGGTCCTGGGGGGCGAAAATATAATAATAATGGGAATAATAATAATAATAATAATAACCATAAAGAAATGCAAAAATGAAAAAAAAATCAAGAGTGAGAAATAATATACAGTACCTGTATGTATGTTGTGTTGTCAATAGTAAGAGAAATAATTGAGACCCTGCAATTGTGTGTAAATGAGGCAGAGAGTCAAATCAGCAACCTGGAACTTGGTCACAATTTTCGTGATGCCATATGTTCTTTGACTTTTCCATTTTTTATTCACGGTTTCTGTGCTAATTCATATTTATTTACTAAAGTGGTTAATGTTTTAAAGCAAATTCTATTGAAATATGAATGGCAAATGAACAAAAATGAATAGAGAGACTTAAATGGGTTAGGTATTTTGAAAAATGTATGTTTTATTTCCGTAGACTTTATCTACTATTAACCGACCTTTTGGATTATCCGTCGGCCCCTTCCCCCCATATGTAGGCGGTTAGTCGAGTTTTTACTGTATTACCATGTTATTTTTTGATCAAGTGCTTACATAAATAATTTGTTTTATCTTCTTGAGAAGTTACATAAATCAATGGAATATATACTGTATAGTACATATATTTACTGTATTTATTTATTTTTATTTATTTTTTTTTTTAAGAAAATTAAATTATAGCATTGTTTATGTTCAGTCAGCCTGGTCAGATAGTCAAGGCTCATTGTTGCTGTTGCAAGGTCCTTGTTATTCTACAGTGGTCCCTCGGTTAACGTAATTTCGGTTAACGAATTACCTTCCATAAGAATATTCAATTCGGGTAATGAAAAAAATTTTATTAACGAAAGTCTTACGAAAATCACGTTTTGTTTTGAACATCAGCTGATAAGCTGAGGAGGTACTCGGCCAATTCAGTAATCTCTTCTATGTTTACATTCGCTTCCATTGGAGTAAATATCAAGAAAATTGTGCTCTTTAATATTTGTGCATTTTTTTTATTGGTCAATTATTGGTCATTCTAAAATTTAGCCATCCAAGCTGTGTCTACATTTATTGAAACTCATTTACATGCACACACTGTCCTAAGGGCAAAGCTGAACTGTACATGTAATCAGAATAATGTACACTTGCAACAAAAAGTATCGGTGCATACTGTAGTGTGAACAATTTGAGACCAGTGACGATAGGTATTGGGAAAGGCGAGTTGTTCCAGCCGTATGTTGGCAGCCCTGATAAATAGACAGTATGAAATATGAGGAGCTCCCTGTTAACAAAATTATTTGTGATACTCGTGAATATTGACACATTAATTTATGCTACCAAATAAACCACTCAACCTGGTAGTCCTGAGGGGTGGTGCAGCGTGGACGGCCGCTCCGAGATCTGTCGTCTGTAGCACCAGTTTCGAGGTATCGCTGAATCCATCGTGCAGCGGTGTTCCTGTGGACACCAACCCACCGGCTAATATCTGTGACGCCAAACCCTTCGTTATGAAGGGCAATAATAGCTCCTCGTGTTCCCTCTTGAGTTTTCCATGTCGTCTGGTATGTGTAGATCTCTACTGCTTCATATTGCCTCTGTTTTATACCCACGTTCACCGAGGCCGAACCCTCGCTCATCATTCAGTTGACACAAAGCAACAATCCGAAAAGAGGAAACAAACACACTGATTGTCACCCATATGGCAACACCTAGTGGAGGTGGTCGGGGGGTTATGAGGATACACTTACCAACCTTCCCGACATATCACAGTGTATATGTATCGTTTCGGAGGTCGTCTATCTCACCCTGCACCGATACTTTCTGGTGTGAGTTTACAAAATGAACATTAAAATTTTTGTCTTGTGCAAACTATGGCATGTTTACATTCAAATTAATCACTATCTTATAAGAATTCCAGCAATGCAAATTAAATTCACCCCGGTCACTTCTATTAAATTTTATAAGCAAAAAACAAAAACTCAATCTATAGGACATAAATTAACAATAAAATGCTTCACACCACAGGCGCCAACTGTCAAACATGTCACTGTTACCCCTCCCTCCCCTCCCTCCCCTCCCTCTACCCCCCACCTTCCCAAGAAATGTTCGGGGGTTTTCACTAGGCTTCCAGTTTTAATTATATATAATACTCAGACGAAAGTTAGGAGAATATAATTTGCATTGCTGGATTCCTTGCAAGACCGCGAATGATTTGAATATAAACGTCATATATTTTGCACAAGAGATAAAATTAATCACCTGTATCACATTACAGTAGTGATTTAAGAGTTCTAGTGTATATGTACGATATGTATAGTGATTTAAGGGCGATTTAGAGGAATTTTAGGAGTGTTTCTGACTAAATATTTTTGGCTTTGCTTTGTATATACTTTTCTGTGAACTGGAACCAAATACCCAAGATCCCATTGAAACAATGGATTTGGTTAACAAACGACCCTCTGGAACGAATTGAGTTCTTTAATGGAAACTAGAGAAAAATTATTTTACTTTCATATTTGACTCGCTTGCCTGAGAAGTCCTGGAGAATTCATTGAGACGCATGCACACTTATTGATGCATAGCGAGAAGTTAAATGCTCAGAGTGCAATTATGCAAGTTTTCAGTCTTTTGACAACAAAATACCCCATTTAAGCAACAAAAAAACAATGGACATGACAGGACAACTTTTATCAGAACTGGTAACACTGAAATTTTTTATAACATTTGACTGTATTTCAGACAGTGATTAATGATTGCTTATATTTACAGCGCCATACATGATGTACCATGTGTGTAAGGGTTGGAAGCCAGTGATGAAGAAACTGGAAGAAGTAGTGAGAGATGAAGACCGCACCTCTAAACCAATGCACATTATAAGAATATCGATGGGGACATTAGCAAATTTCTTACTCATCATATATGGATGCGCATTGGACCCAAATGTTTATTCTTACGTGCTCATCATCTGCCTCACCAACATGGGACTTTATGTTCTAAATTACATAATCACAAAGGTACTGTATTATTAATTTTAGATGACAGGTATTAAGTCACATAGTATTAGGGAACACCTCAGTAGATCCATTCCATCCCCTGGGCATGCCAAGTTCTGTAGCTATCAAGCTACAGAACTATAAACTGAAACACGAGTGCCGAAGGGACTCGTGTTTCAGTTTAAAGGACGTAGAGCGTTTTTACTGAAGGTTTTAATGTTCCATTACCCTAAAAAACGTGGGTCGAACTATAAACGAGGAATATCATAAATTAACGATTTCTTGGTCAAAAAATCAGGGTCGACCGATAAACGAGGGGGGGGGTTATAGACGAGTATATACGGTATGTTGTCACAGATTGATTGCTCGTTTTAAAGTGGCGACCACGTGGTCGCTTGTTGTCGCTGTGCAGCTGTAGCACTCTGGCATGCGCACATACACACTAAAGCCCGCTAAAAAAAAAAATAATTAGTTTTCAAAAAGTCCGGATTCTCGGGTGGTCCGGATTTCTGGCATCTGGATTTTTGGACTTTTACTGTAGTAATACACTTTATCTTTTTTATATTCTTGTATTTCTTTATTATTATTATTTTAGTAATACCGTATTATTTTTATCATTATTTTATTTTGGTGTATTTTTTAATTAAAATTTTTATTTACTATGAATAATTACAGGTATTATTATTATAATTAGTATTATTATAACATTTTCGCCCCCAGGCCCCGATGTGGGTCAGTGATCTATGCCCGGGTGAGCTATTCTCGGTAAAAAAAAAATTGCTCTACAAAATTTTTTCGGTTTTCAGAGCTTTTCGGAATTTCGGATAAAGGGTTGTCAACCCGTATTATATAAAATAAACACCTTAAAGAATACAGTTATCACCAATCTTTTGTAGCCAGCAAGCATGGGGGGGAACAGGGGAGGGGGGGCGAGGGAGGTGAGGTGACAGAGTGTGGTGTTTGTTTATTTATTTGAGATAAGATGTGACAGTTGGCGCTGAAGGCCTACGTGTTTATTTATCATTACTTAAGAGTGACTTAAGCTCTTCTCATAATATGCCACCCAAATGACCTGGGTGAATATACTTTACATTGCTGGGATTCTTGTAAGATAGTGATTTATTTGAATACCTGTATAAACAATTATATTTGCAATAGACATAACAATTTAAGTACCGTAATCATGTACATGTACAGTACAGGTTTGTTCCACGGTAAAATCTTTTGAGCAACTAAAGAAAGCGAAAGTCATTGTTTTCGTCATGATTTTATCCCACTTTCCACTGTAATACATACATCATTTCAGCAAAAATATTGCATTTCCATATTTATTTCTGAGAATATATTCATTCAGTCACAGTTCAGGTAAAATATAATTGTGATGTAATATTTTAATGAAAATACCCGGTATTTAGAAATACGGTAGTGTAGTTTTCTTTTGTTTCAAATTTAATTAACAAAGATTGATGTTTCAAATGTAATGAACAAAAATTTATGTACAGTATCTATAAATAAACTTTAAAAAATGAATACTTTATGTTTTACATCGTCCTGTGCTACCATACCATGCATTTGGCTACTTTGGGCTTGCTATGATGACACAAGAGATCTGCCCTGGCAACTGTACCGACACTCACAGCTGGTGGTGCGTTGGTGCGTCGTTTCCATTGTTTACTGGTAGTTACTGGTAAATATTTTTGAACCTAATGAAACTATTACCCGTTTAAAGGTTGACCCCCAATTTTTTGCCAAATAATTTGGTCTTAAAAACTCGAACCACACACAGGTATATACTGTAAATAAGGACATGGGGGCCAGGGTTTTTGGGGGGCAGTAAAAGTACACGGATTTTTAACATTCACGGGTATCTCTGTTACCTAACCCCCATGTATGTTAAGGGCCACCTGTACTGTATACTGTACATTTACTTTTGTAACCACTAATCAAGTTGATATATTGTGTATTATACTATAGTTATTTTATATTTACAGAGAATCTGTCACAGGGAGAGCGGTACACCTTTAGCATGGATGTCCCTCTTAATCTCATTGTTGCTGTGGATTGTAGCACTGGTGGCTTTTTGCTTCCATAACACTGATTCTGAGGTATGGTAATTTCTCTATAAATTTTAATATATTTCTCTCTATCCATATTACAGTTGGGTCTCACTTTACCCAGTTAATGTAACCCACAGAGTACTGCAGAAAGTGAGAAACGCAGTGAATAACATAACATATGGGATTAAATGAAATAGAGACCGGGCTGACCCCCAAACTCCACTTTTTCCGACACAATACTTATGTTCTAGTAAAAATAACATCTTAATTTTATGATGGTACATGCACACAATTAATACTTAAGAGAAATAGAGAAATACAGTCGCCAAGTTAATGTCCATTAAAATAATGGACTCGACTCCCTCCCCCTCTTCTCACACTACACTCACTGGCTCTTCCCTCTCTGAGAAATTTTGGGGGGAAACCACTAGATTTTAAGGTATAGTAATAAATGATACCTCAGACTAAAGTTAGGATAATATAATTGACATTGCTGGATTCCTTGTAAGACCAGGAATATTTTGAATATAAATGTCATATATTTTGCACAAAAGATAACATATTTACTCAGAGTAAACATTAGATCTAAAATTTGTATGTCTAATGCAAAATCTATGATGTTTATTTTCAAAATGATCATCAAATTGTAGGAATTCCAGCAATGTAAATTATATTCTGGCCGGGTAATTTGTATGAATTTTATGAGCTAAATAAAAAAATTATACTTCACCCGTGTAAAGGGTGTGTTTACACACACCGCGGAATGTGAGCATCCTGGGTTCTGGCAGGGCACCGCGTAAATGTTGTAAATGTGGAAATGCGGAATGTGGAACTGTGTAAAGTGAGGGTTGACTGTATAATGTTACCATTGGATAATTTTACCAAACAGGGAGGTACTACAACCTGGGAATATATTGGAAGCATAATGTGTTGTCTAATGGTAAACCCTGCTGCCATATGGCATCACGAAAATTGTGACCAAGTCCTTAGACAGGCAGTAGTACCTCCCTGTTTGGTAGCTGTCTACTACCTACTACCAGTTATTGTCTCTCTTACTACTGACAACACAACATACCTGGTACATACTGTATATTGTTTCCCACTCTTGATTTATTTTTTAAATTTTGTATTAATTTATGGTTATTATCATTATTTTATTTCTATTATAATGTTTTTATTGTTATTAATTATTATTATTGTTATTATTACTAATAATAATAATAATAATAATAATTTTATTATATATTCGCCCCCCAGGCCGTGATGTGGGTTTTTGACCTGTGCCCGGGTGGACTAATCCCCATAAAAAAATAATTAACTTTTCCTATATACTGCCAGAATCATGGGTCACTAATTCTAAGGGGATAACTTAACTCTATTCTGAATTTTAAGGTCGCTGCCACTAGACCCATCCCTGGACAGTATGTAGCTCGTTAGGTAGCTGGCAGAGTAAGCCAGGCATTGGGTTGGGTTTTTCATTGACCAAATCGAGAGTGGGAAGAAGGGTGAAACATCAAACATGGCTTAACTAATTTATTCCTTATAAAGCATAGTGCATCCCGTCAAAATACAAGAAGAGTTGGCCTTCCTCAGAACAACTATGATTTTCATTACACTACGCCTTAATACACGTCTTACATCATTTGAGTACCATTATCATACTCATTCTTCATAACAATCACTGACCTCCTTACCTCAGTCATTCCTTCTTACCATAACACCTCACACATCTGCCTGCACCACCTGTTAGAATATAGCACAATATGTTACATTACATCGCCACATGTTACATCATAGCACCACATCCCAGGTACACTCCACACCTACAAGGATGGAACTCCTCGATATTTCTCGGTACACATACCAGGTACCTCGTAAGTAACTATACCAGTACTGTTTCCACGGCTGGTAGTCTAGGTCGCTCCAAGTGGCAACCGTGAATCTTCTCAAACATACTATTATGTGCTCCTATTCCTGGGTGGTGATATGCAGGGAATCCACAGGTTCACAGTGGAGGAACATAACGGTGGACAGTCACACCTCTCATGGGGTGGCCCTCACAGTGTGGTCATGGCTGATGCCCAGAAGACGCTCAGAACGCGTGGTACCTGTGTTGGTGAGAATAATGCCTGAGGGAGGGGCTTCCATCACCCCACACTAGTACACTATGACTTCACTTTATAACATCAGGCAAGGTTTTAAGATGTAAAATACTGCTAAAAAAGTCTTTTTAGATTTGGATAGAGCACGATGTAGAGCACTGACCTGTGTTGGTGAGAAGACGGGCGTCACTGAGGGCGATGCCCAGTGCCTCTCACTGAACTAGGCCTACAGTTTCCAATCTTTAATTTTCACTTTGATTTCTTATGGTTCTCACATGAACACTTTCCTATTTATTGTGACCTTATGCCTTATAAATACATATCTTAATCCTAAATTACATACTAAAGTACGGCTCTGGTTTGACAGTTCCTGGGGAAATTAATTGGGCGATATCATTAACTCAAAACTGTAGTCCGGGCACAAGGGACGCTAACTTTGAACAAAAGCCACGCGTCGAATGTTCATGCAACTTTAAGAAGCTGTACATGAAGAAAGTGTTCAGGAGGTGTTATCAGGCAACTTCCACTGATCCTGATCTAACACTGTCACAGTTCTGAAAGACACAATACAACATCCTGGAGGCTGTAAAATTGATTGTCCTCATGGCGAGAAGTCTCCACTAGATCCCTCGATTCTTCATGGAAAGCACTGTGGCCATCAGCAGTCCATGATTTTGAGGAATTTCAGGAAGAAGCAGAGTTGGACCAGGAGATTGTGTCCATTGGTCAGTCATTGGGCCTTGAAGTGGAGGAGGATGATGTAGAAGAGCTTGTGATGTCTCATGAGCAGGAACTTACTCCTGAAGCTTTGCAGCAACTGGATGAGATGTTAGAGGCTGACAGTGGTGAGGAGGAAAAGGAAAGTGATGACCATATGTCAACTTCAGATTTGAAAGATGATGTTGACCACTGGGAGAAGTTACGGAAACTGGCTTCAAAGCACCCAGGTGTTGAAAAATTAGAACTGGCTTTGTGTAATGTTGAGGACACAGTGGTCTCCTTCTTCAAACATCAGTTAATGATGAGGAGGAGAGATGCCCCACAGAAAAAAATTGACAGTTTCTTCACGAAAAGGCAGCGGGAACAAGATACTAGCTCTCAGCCTTCCACTTCAAGAAGGAGAGAGGATGTTCCTGCTGGAAAATCTGTCAGTCCAGAGGTTCCTGACATTTTCATGGAAGGTGACTTGCCTTCCAAAAAGCAGTAAAATGCTTCTCCTCCACCTCCACTTCTCTTCTCCCTTCTCCTCCTCCACCTCCCACTTCAAATTCACATCAGCATCATCATCCAGGAGCCTTCTACATACACACCGCAAAGTAAGTGTACTTTACTACCTTTTTTGTTGACTTTAGGCAATTTTCGGTGAGCTGGAACCAATTACCCAAAAACTCATTGAAACAATGGTTTCGGTTAACAAATTTTTCGGTTAATGAGCAACCTTCTGGAACGAATTGTGCTCGTTAAGTGAGGGACCTCTGTATCTTATTTTGTTATATTATATTACTGTATTTTTTATGAAATATTCACCATAATAGGTTGTTCATATGATCATATGAGAATATCATAATTATTAAATAAAAAGTAACTGGTGAATGAGGCAACAGCCAGGAGCATACAATCAGTTACAAGGGGGGGAAAGGACAACTGACACTTGTGGAGGGGCATGGGAAAAGTGACTATATCACCATCCCTCCCCCCACTACACCCTGCCTTGACCACTCTTTACTCCACCTTCCACCTCTCTATACACTCCGTAATTGTTTAAGTAAACAAGAACAAGAATAAGGGATAAGGTATGAAAATCTTGTAAATAAAAATAAAAATGGAGAGAAAGAAATAGAGTAATTAAAGAATAAATATAAACTAGATAAGAAAAAACTTTATGTCTGTGGGAAAAATTTAAATTTCTTCTCATTCTCTCGGGTAATATCAGGTCACCCTTTATATATAAACTTATCTCACTTGCACTGAAGGTGGGATGAGAAATTTGTGGTCTCATATTACTGACCTGATGCATTATTAGGTCACCCATTGTCGGGGTGGGGAATTAGTGGGTCTCATCACCTGAAGATGTCTTGAATAAACACGACATAGGTGTAAAGTAACAAAGTACAGCATGCCCTTACAATTCGCGAATTTTTAATTCACGGATGATACCCTGGATATACCCAAAAATGTCTGCAGGTACTTTTAAAGGTGGTAACATTTTCATGGCTGGGACGGGGAGTCCGCGTGTTTTTTGGCGTCCTGCAAGGTTTCTCTTTTGTCCAAGGTGGCTGAGCCATGTGCGGTCACTTTGCCATAGTGACAGTCTTGGCTAAACACTTATCGGTTTGTGCGTGTGCTACTCTGCTCTCTTAACAGCTGTGCTCCGTGTGCTTGTGATGGCTCCCAAACCCCCTCAACCACCTTCATCCAGCCGCAGAAAGGTGCCCAAACAAGTGAAGAGCAAAAAGGTCATTTATTTCCCCCATACATACGGGTAAGGGAGGTGACTGACTGCTGGTTAGTGAGTCGTTTGCAGTTGTAACTCTCCTCACTCCTTGCCATATTTCATTGGATTTACTGTTATTATCAGTGTTTACTGATAGAATAGTGCTTAATAGTAGCGAGGTTAGCTCAACATTGTAACCACCAGGCTACTGGGCCAAGCTGTGAGGTGTTAGGTTTTTCAACTCGTATTTTCGGGTAGATATACGTAACTTTTTTCATTTTTTTTACTCAGTTACAAGCACACACCATCCTAAATACATATTGTGAAAAAAAGTACAGTATTACACCACAATTACCTGCAGCCTCTTTGTCTGCTGATCCAGCCTCTCCCTGAAGTTTCACATTATGTTAAGCAAAGCAGCATTTACAATTTTCAAACCACCCTTTGCTTATTTGAAAATCAGTCACAGTATCACTCCGTCCCCTCAGTTTTCACAAAGTGAACATACAAAC